CAGAAAAGTAGGGAGGGCTTAGCCAGAGAAAGCAAGTCAGTCAAAATAGTGAAGAACTAGCAGGCATGGCGAGGGCGGCAGAGGGACAGGAACAATATCGTCAAGAGATTGGAGAAGGGTTTGGGGATCTGGCATAGGAGAGCCTCTGGGACAGCTGCGAGGCGGCAAAAACTGGAGCGTGCAGGAGGGAATGCGAAAAGTGTTTCTGGCTTATAAATCAGTCTCTTTAAAGTTCACCCAGAAATGCAAGTAAAGAATAGCTTTTTTCCTTTTTTTCTATTTCTTTTTAGAGTTTATTTTTTAAAATTACTTTTTGTTGCCAGATTGTGCTTCTTTATAAGCAATTCAGTGCAGACGTAGAACCAGGATTTATCTACATAACCAAAATTCAGAATTTGGCATGCAAGTTGCAGAAAACCGTGGTTTTCTGCAAACAAGCAAACAAACCTAGAGGGATTATTGTCTCTTATCCCATGACCAACTTCTCATATCAGAGACTTCCCTTTTCTTCCCCTCCCCAGGCACCCAAAGGAATACAGTGGCAGGTTTGGAAGTTCTGCCAATGATGACTATTATACAAACAGTAACTGCCTGCTTTGTGACACGCGAAGATGAACAGAACGTGGCCCTAACCTTAAGGGGCTCAAACAGTAACAGGTGAGGCGGACATATAACAGCTCATGAAAACAATGTAGTTAATGCTGACTCAGAGGTCGAGGCCAGGCACCGTGTGTTCTTCCAGCAAAAAACACCCGGCCCTGGGGCACCTGAGTGGTTCAGGCAGTCGGGCATCCGACTTCAGCTCAGGTCATGATCTCTCAGCTCGTGAGTTCGAGCCCCGCGTCGGGCTCTGTGCTGACAGCCCAGACAGGGCCTGGAGCCTGCTTCGGATTCCGTGTCTCCCTCTCTCTCCGCCCCTCCCCCACTCATGTTCTGTCTGTCTGTCTCGCTCTCAAAAATAAATAAGTAAATATTAAACACAAAAACAAAAACACCCGGCCCTGCTTGTGCAGTCAGGGCAGGCTTCGGAGAGAAGCTGAGTCTGAAGAGATAGGAAGGGGTTGCCAGCAGACAAAATGGAGGAAGGAATGAGGGTGTGGCTACCCAAATGAAGGGCATATGCCAAGGTGCAAAGGAGATAAAGGGCATGGTCCCATGAGAATCCCCGTGGAGGTGGAGGTGGGGTTGTAGGTTAGCCAATAAGGTGAGAGTGTAGCTGGGTGACATTCTGTAAGGTCCTGGATGCCAGGCAGAGGAATGAAGATTTGTGTCCTGTAGGCAATGGGGAGGGGAGATGCTGACGAGGTATAGCAGGCCAGTGATGGTATCAGCTATCAACGGCTTATCTTAGAGTTTATTTTTATTTACTTAGAGAGAAAGAGAGCAGGCAGGGGGAGGGGGCAGGCAGAGGGGGAGACAGAATACCCAGCAGGCTCCAGGCTCCATGCTGTCAGTGCAGAGCCCAAAAGCAGGGGAACTCAGGAACCGTGAGATCATGACCTGAGCCTAAATCAGGAGTCGGAGGCTTAACAGAATGAGCCACTAAGGTGCCCCCTGAACTGTTCATTTTAATTTTTTTTTAACGTTTATTTATTTTTGAGACAGCATGAACAGGGGAGGGTCAGAGAGAGAGGGAGACACAGAATCTGAAACGGGCTCCAGGCTCTGAGCTGTCAGCACAGAGCCCGACGCGGGGCTCGAACTCACGGACCGTGAGATCATGACCTGAGCTGAAGTCGGATGCTTAACCGACTGAGCCACCCAGGCGCCCTGAACTGTTCATTTTAGAAGTGTATTTCTAGCGGGCATGGTTTAGAAGAGAGACTGGAGGGGTGCCTGGGTGGCTCAGTCGGTTAAGCGGCCGACTTCGGCTCAGGTCATGATCTCGCGGTCCGTGAGTTCGAGCCCCGTGTCGGGCTCTGTGCTGACAGCTCAGAGCCTGGAGCTTGTTTCCAATTCTGTGTCTCCCTCTCTCTCTGACCCTCCCCCGTTCATGCTCTGTCTCTCCCTGTCTCAAAAAATAAAAAATAAAACATTAAAAAAGAAGAGAGACTGGAGGTAGAAGGACACAGGAGGGAGTATTGCAGTCATATAGAGGAAACCAAAGCATTTATGTTAAGACAGGGGCAAGGAAAACAGGGATTTAGTCAAAGGGATAGTTCGGTGCTATCAAATTATATGGGAACAAACAGATAAGGAACTTTCAATCAGACATGGGGTGACAAAGACAAATGGTTTTGATAGCATTCTTATATTCCCCCTGTGGGAAACAGGTTTATAGTCCTCATTAAATAAAGTGGAGAATACAGAAAGGGGAACATGCTTTGGGTGAGGCAATATATAAAATTTGGAAAATGCTAATTTCGAGGGACATTCAGCTAGAATGTTCAGTAATGCAGGAGAGATATCAGGCTGAAACGATGGCTTCTTTATGACCATCAACCACTTCTACACGGTGAACCTAAGAAATAGAAGGTATCAATGCCTATAAATAAGACTATTGATGAGTTGGCGTGTTTTATGGGTTTCTGTTCTGTGCATTGATACAACCCATCTAGGCTAGGCTCATGTTTAGTTACTGATGGCATGAACTGTTAATGGTGAGATGTAATTATATCTCCCAAGAAATGAACAGTTTGCAGACTTAGTGTGTACTTACACTATGCTTGTGTTAAGAGATCTGAACTGGATTGATCTTCTCTCTTGGCCAATCTACTCCCCCCCCCCATCTTTTTCTTCTCCAGAAAGAGTCTGTTAGGACCAGTTGAAAGCAATGAGGTTAATGACAGAAAGAGAAAGAGCTTAAAATCTAGTTTTCGGCTGTGAAGAGAGGTTGGTTGAGCGCTCACAGCAGTGGTCAGGTGAACCTACTGAGAGTTTATTAAGCTCCAGAGGGGGAAGAGCCAATCAGAAAACAACGGGTCAAATTCCTGGCAGATTTCCTTGTCTGAGATTTTCCTATAAAGATGTAAAGGTAAATACCAACCACTCTCTGCTGGTTGAGGGAACGTGTGAGAAGGAGAGAGACAGAGGATTAGAAAAATAAATAAATGAAGAGACCTGTTTGAATCCAGAGTTAACACCAAAATCCACTAGTCTAAAACTAACCAGAGATTTGTTTCCGTAATCTTCCAAGCATTAATAATTGCGCTTCTCATTTTTTTCTTAGACTTTGTAGCACAGATACTGTATTTAAATTTTTACGTAAAAGCTCCTGGGAACCTCTGCCATGAAGATTCCTGATTTGGAGATAATTCGTGTCTGATTTTCATTGGGTTGCAGGAGGCAGTGGGAATCTATGTCCAATCTTTCTCCCTACCACAATTCTGTTTCTTGGTGGCTCAAAAGCAGTTCCTTGATTTTAATCTTAAAGCAACCCATTTTGTAATTTTCTGATGTTAGTGAGTTGACGTTAGGGTCCTTTTTGATAAAAGATTTCCAGAAAGAAAAGTCAAGTCTGTTCTTGGAACGTCAAAACAAAGAGTATGCTGGGACCGTGTCAGAACATTTCCTATTTACTAAATTCTGTACCTTCAGGTGCATGTGGCCTCAAACTGCCGGAGGGTTAAAGCAGGACTGGATTTAAACAGGTGGAATTGGGGAATTAACTCTTTTGCCTGGGGAGGATTAGCTTTCTGGGCACTGAAGCCTGGAGAGAGGTTTCTTAACAGCAATGCTTGGACACTGGGAAGATTTTCTCCTGCCCCTAGGCCATGTTTAATCTGTAGCTTCCCCAAAGCACCTTGTATTGGAATTGAGGGGAGGGTGATTCACCAACTGAATAGATTGTCGCCAAGAGCATCAGAGTTTAGTGATGAATATACTGATGGTGGGGAACTCAGAAACCAAAGACTGGTCCTGATGTGGCTGCTGACTCTCAAAAGTCATCTCGTCTCAGAGCATCCACATTCTCTAAAGGGAGCTAATGTGTATTTAACACTTCCTAAGTCCCGGGAACTATTAGCATTTTGTGGCCATCTCCTGTAACCCTCACATTTCTGCTGTGGGATGTGACTATAATCCTTTCCATTTTGCAGATGAGGGAATCGAGGGACACGGAAATTAAATAATTCACCCAAGTTCATATAGTCATGACAGCTTGGATTCAAATCCTGGTGGACAGACTGCCTGCAGTCTCTACCCTTACCCATAACATGATACCCGTCCTAAAGCCCTAAAGCAAGGAGGAAAGGATTAGAGAGGGTCATGAGGGTCCTTTCAGCCCTACCAGTGGGAGTGGGTGGGGGCAGGGGCAGAGTTCTCTTTCTAGGCTGGGAAGGCATTCAGCTCCCCCCCCCCCCCCCCCCCAATTCCTTGGCACCTCTGAGAATCTTTTGGGAATATGTCTTCACTGTCAGGCTACAGGTAGCAGTGCAGGACTTGGTGTAGCACTTGTACCCCACAAGGATACTTATCAGGGTCATTCCTTTCTGAGCATGTGGGTTAATAAGATCTCCGTGGTAGTGGGACCTTGGAGAAATTAAGCTGCTGGCATGTTGGCCACAGAGCAAACTGCTGCAGCGAGAAGCTGCAAGCTGCAGGCTCCCAGCTAGCTGCCTTGAAAGGGACCACAGTAAATCAGGAGCAGCCATCGAGGCTGGTGCTGGATTTCAGGGCCAGCCCCCCGCCAGGGGCTGCGGACCCCCCAAAACCAACAGCAGCAGCACCATCAACGACAACTGGCCGGTGCAGGCCGGTTGCCGGGAAGCCGACTGCGCGCGCGGGGAAGGGGGGCCCGAAGAGGCGGTTGCTGGAAGCTGCTGTTAGAGGTGAGGGAATGAGAAGGGGAAGGAAGGAACAGAGGCACCAGGGGGACTTGGAACAAAGGGGGAGAGGGGTTCTGGTCACACTAGTGTGGGCAGCGCAGGAGGAGGTGAAAGCGCTAGCTCGAAAGAGAGGGAAAGAAGAAAGCAGCCGAGAGCCACCAAGAAGAGGAGGAAGTGGGAGATGCGCTGCTTCCTGTAGAAAGCGCGATGATTGAAGACAAAGCTGGGTGGGGACTAGTCCCTGGGCTGCAGGCGCCGCTGCTACACACGCACAGCGCACAGCGCGCAGCGGCGGCCGCTCCGTGGCAGCTCCTACTACTGCTGGGCTGGGCCGGGCCGGGCTGGGCGGGCTGCGCGGGCTGCGCCGGGCTCCCCTGCACACATCGGCTCCCCCTCAGGAGACCAGCCGCTCTCCGACGAGCCGCGGGCGCCCAGGTAAAGGGGCCGCTTTGGGGCTCGCTCCTTTTTAAGCGAGAGAATGACCACCGCCTGCGGTTGTAAGGGCGGATTTCTCAGGGAGGATGGGGACGTTGCTTCGGGATCGGTGGGGGGAAAAAGATGAGAGGATGGGTTCTTTGAGAAGGGCTGTTGAGAATGGCCAAATTCGTGGCACATTTGCTTTCGCGTTTGTTTGGTTTTTGTTGTTGAAATCATCGTTGGCGCTTCGCTTTGGCGATTCGTCAGAAAAACACCCTAAGTGTTAAGAAGCCGTTTGCAGAGTTCTCTTGGAAGAAAAGCGGGGCTCAGTTGAAATCAACTGGGGCTGTGAAGCTGTGGGCTCATCATCTGAGCGTTGCAGTCCCCTCGTCTTAAGGGTGTTAAGTGGTGGAAAATGTTCGTTGCATTATCTTTCTTACATACTGCACTGAGGTGTCTGCTGTTTTGCACTATAACGACTGTGATTTAGCTGTTTTTTAAATTATTATTATTTATTTATTTATTTTTGGTTAAATCCTTTTGTACTCAGAATTTGCCAACAAGGGCTGGAAATGCGTATGTGAGGGGCAGTATTTGTTTAAAAAAACGGTGTCTTCCTCCCTCTGCTCTCTGTGCAGCTGCTTTCTGGATAACCTCAGACACAGCTACCATTTGCCAGTAGGTCTCATCCTAAAGTTGCATCCTTTCTCATAGGAGTGTGGCGGGTTTAACTTGTCCAGAATCAGATATATATGGATTTGATGTTTATGTGGATTTTATTCATCTGTAGGTCAAGATGCATGTTAACCTTAGCGAGGGACAAAACGTGAAAGTGGAGCTCGGTTATTTCCTTACCTGTATACACCCAAATGGTAAAATCAAAATGCGATTTTTGTTCTTTGGTTATCTTGAGCAATGGATCCTCTTAATGAGAGTGCCCATGACTATGACTTGTTCATATTTATGAACGACCTGTAAAAGTACAGTAAATAGGTCTAATGGATTGGAAATGAAATTGTGAGATGTCTTTGGCAGGATATGTAGGCGAAAGAGCATAAGACCCTACTGAAGCATGGTTTTAAAAATTAAGCTTTGTTTCCAATGGAAAGTGTGGATAAGCAATAAATGGTCATTGATGAAAGGTTTCTTCTTGAATGTTTAGAATGAAGAGAGATAAGTTTTCAAAGGAAAGAAAGAACTGCTTATAGTAAGGTAAAAAAAAATAGTAAAAAGGTCATATTTAGATATTCAGATTCCTAACATATAGGCTTTTAAACACTAAATATGCCGTTGAGAGTGTATATGGCTCCTCATTTCTCACCATTCTCGGTTATGAGAAGCTGTAAGGTCTGCTTTTTAATGCCATCTTTCTGAAATTGATTTGGCTTCCCAAAATTTGTGGGTAGCAGCACATGTTCAGAGATGAGAATCTTTAGGTACTAAAGGAAAAAAAAATGTCTACTTCTCTGAGGTTACTTATTAAATTAAACTTGTGCTATGTCTAAGGGGCAAAATATTGCTAGTGTTGAAACCGTAGAGTTTCCCTGTGGAGTCAATGAATCTAATCAAACCTGTAGGCAAGACAGGTCATTCCATGTACTTCACAATTACACTCCCCATTTGCCTCCTAAAGAATAAAATATGTAAAGATCATCTTCCAGGGGGAGATGTAGGGTGGATCTTGGATCCAGAATGCCCCTAACTTGGATCCAGTTTTGTGATCAAGCTGCCTGTCACTAAATGAAATAGAAAGTTGGGAATCTGGGCTGTATGAACAAGGATGGGGCTCACCCTTTGGTACTTACTCATCTTCAGGCTGTATTCACGGGATCCTGCCAACACCCTGCTTTATTTGGGGATGTGTAGATAATCTGCGTTATTCTTCTTTGCGTTTCACAAAAGAGTAAGAAAATGAAACCTTGGCCCTTAGGCACAGGAGAGTCAAGAGGGCCCCCTGTTCTCTTTTAGAAAACAATTAAGAGCTGTCTATTTTCTGCACAGCACAAAACATTTCCTTAATTGTTAAATTCCAGCTTGAAGCACAACATCAGTGAGTAACAGCAGATCAGCCACTGTGATGGTAGAAGGTTTAGGAAAAAGATAAAAATGCTTCTATTCTGTAAAACTGGACTATTTCCACTTGTTCCGGCCATATGGAATATTGAAAGACATAGTGCTTTTGCCCAGAGTATTCAGTGGCTTTTGAGGGAGTCGATGGACACTGAAATTTTAATTGTATGGGTTTTTTTTTCCTGCCATATGGCCAATGGCTGAGTGGAAACATGATTCCATTATTTCGTGGCCAGCCCTGGGCCTCATGTGGTGGGCACATAGTGAATGTATTTGGTTGACTGACTTTTTTAGCCTACTTCAGAAGGCAGGCCCAACTTTTAAGTATAAAAGCTCTATCGTCAAAGCAGAAAGCCAGTTCAAAAAGACAACTGTGGGTAGAATAAAAGAACATCGTGGAGTGAAAAGAACACAGGCTTCGAGAGTCCGTCAGATCTGCCTTTGAATCCTATCCCTGGTTCTTACTACTTGACCTGGTACGTTAATGTATAAACCTTAGTTTCTTCTTTGTAAAGAGAAGTTAATAGTACGTAATCAAGGGTTTCTTTTTGTTTTTGTTTTTGTTTTTCATTTTGTTGCGTTTTGTTTTTGCTTTTGTGTGTGAATAGGTGAGTGCCTGCTATGTGGTAGGTACTCAGATGTCATTTTTTCTTCATGGGTGACATAAGGGAAAACTAGCATATTCTCGACCTTTGCCGCTAGCTACCTCCAAGGTTCCAGGAGATATATATATATTTTTTAATTGGAGTAAAATATGTATAACATAAAATTTCCCCTTTTAACCATTTTTAAGTGTACCATTCTGTGGCATTAAGTATATTGACATTGTTGTGTAACCGTTACCACTGTCCATCGGCAGGGCTTTTCCATTTTTCTCAAACTGAAACTCTGCTCCCATCAAACAGTAAGTTCCCATTTCTTCCTCCCCACAGCCCCTGGCCACCGCCATTCTACTTTCTGTCTCTGACTTTGACTACTCTGGGTACCTCATGTAAGTGGTATGTCTTTTTGTGACTGGCTTCATTCACTCGCCATAATGTCTTCAAAGTTCATCCGTGTTGTAGCAGGTGTCAGAATTTCTTTCTTTTTTTAAGCTGGATAAGATTCCTTGGTGTGTTTACCCCACACTTTGTTTATTCATTCATCTGTTGGACACCGGGGTTGCTTACATGTTTAACCTAGTGTGAATAATGCTGCTGTGCACATGAGTGTACAATTATCTGTTTGAGTCCCTGCCTTCACTTTTTTGGGGTACCCAGAAATGGATTTGCTGGATCAAATTGTAATTCTGTGTTTAATTGTTTTGAGGAATGGCCATACTGTTTTCCACAGCGATGGTACCATTTTACAGTCCTACAGCACTACGTAAGAGTTCCAAATTCTCCTCATCCTCACCGACACTTGTTATTTCTTGGGGGTTTTTGTTTGTCTGTTTTTGATAGTAGCCATACTAATGGATATGAATTGGTATTTCTTTATGTTTTCAATTTGCATTTCCTTAAGGATTAATGAAGTTGAGCATCTTTTCATGGACCTCTTGGCCATTTGTATATCTTCTTTAGAGAAACGTTTACTCAAGTCTTTTGCTCATTTTTTAATTGTATTGTTTTCAAGGAGACATTTTTAAATGGTGGGATCTCTTAACATAGTGCATCATAAAGATCATGATCGTAATATTTGTACTTAATCTCTTGCATATACCAGTATTATCTCTGCCCAAGTAAAATATCTCTCTCAGAAGTAACTTTTAAAATCAAAAGGAGGGGCAGTGCCTGGGTGGCCCAGTCAGTTAAGCCTCTGACTTCAGCTCAGGTCATGAATAAGTCTTGTGGGTTTGAGCCCTACATTGGGCTCTGCGCTGACAGCTCAGAGCCTGGAGCCTGCTTCAGATTCTGTGTGTGTGTGTGTGTGTGTCTCTCTCTTCCCCTCCCTTGTTAGTACTCTATCTCCTTCTCTCTCTAAAACACAAAATAAAAAACATTACATTTAAAAAAAAAAAATCAAAAGGAGAAAGTAAGAAAATCTGTATAGCTCCTGGTAATTGGTGATATCAAGGACCTGATAGTGAAATCCAAATCCGTATTGTAGACAGTCACACCAGTGAGCTGGCTGGTCAAATGTGGACGAGGCTACTACAGAGGAGGCCCTGGGGGACTGTTGTTCCCATGTTCTTCTAGTCTCTTCTCATTAGCTGGATGAGAAAAAAATGCCCAATAGTTAGCAGGGTCAGAAATAAGGAAGAGAATCTAAAGTACTAAATTGTTCTTCAGCTCTTTATTTTATTTTTTTAAGTTTCTTTATTTATTTTGAGAGAGAGAGAGAGTGTGTGCCTGTTGCATGCATGCATGAGACAGCAGGAAAGGTGCAGAGAGAGGGGGAGAGAGAATCCTAAGTAGGCTCTGAGCTGCCAGTGCGGGGCCTGACCTGGAGCTGGAACCCAAGAGCTGTGAGATCGTGGCCTGAACCGAAACTAAGAGTCCAACCCTTAACCAGCTGAGCCACCCAGGTGCCCCTCTCCAGCTCTGCATAATGGAGAGGATTAACCTGTGAAGAAGGGGCTTTGGTAGTTAAACAACAATAGATTTCTGAAAAAGGTTTCTACTAATGAAATGTGATGCTGATCTAAATTTCACTTTTGAAAATAGGGAATCCTTCTGTGTTTCATTTCCCACTGCAGATTTCACCCCTGATTCTGAAACTGGTGAGGCAGGGAGTGGACAAGGCTTGAGAGGAGCTGGGTGGGAAGATGAAGGGGGATTCTGTTAAGAGCAACAGTATCTGAGATTTATGGTGTGGGAACAGAGGTTGACCTTGAATGGTTTGAAGAACTCCTGAATGATCATATGTGTATTTCTTATAATGCACTCTTTGTGTTGGTTGGTTGAATAATGAACCCCAGTTTGTTTAATTTGCAAATCTATTTATTCTGCATTTACTTGGAGGATCCA